AGATGTAAGGAGAGAATAAATCAAAAGATAAAATGAATAAAAATAATAACAACAAAATGAAATATATTATAGTTGATAATGTGATTGAAATGTATTTGTATTAATTCGTTTATTGATTATCATCATGTGATAATGATAATAACATCATTTTATTCATTATTAGATTTAAATAAATAATAAATATAAAATGAAAATAGCAGATAAATAATATCATAAATATTTGATATAAAGAATCAATTTAAATAATAAAGAATCAAGAATAATGAATGATAAAATAAAAGAAATAATGAATAAAAATGAATGAAATAATGATAATATTAACAATGAAACTGTTGGATGGTATTTAAAATATATAAAGATAAATATAAAATAAAGAAGAAATGAATAGGAAATGAAAATAAGAAATGAATAAAATAGAAAAAAGATGATCAATGAAGAAATGATAACAAATATAAAAAAAAATGATAATAATTAATTGAAAATATCAATAAAACTGAATTTAATAATTTATAAATAATGTAAATAAAATAATAAACATAAAATGAAATTAATGAGTAAATAAAATAACAAATCAAATATAATGAATAATAAAATCAATACAATAGATAACTAAATAAATAAAGAATAAAATAAGATAACAGAATAATAAACATTCACTAATAGTTCATCACTTATTAAATATAAGGTAACAAAAACTCACTTTGTTTGAAAATACAGAAGTTGTAAATAAATTATAATAACTCTATAAGAAGAATTATTATATTTGCAATTAAAAAAAATTATAAATACTTTAAGTTTTATAAAACAATAAAATTTTTTTAATAATAAAAAACAAATAAATAAAAAGTCAAATTGTTTAATTATCAGCGGCTCCTTCTTTATTACCTCCTCTAATAAGACCAGTTCTTCTAGCAGCAACTTTACCAGCTTTTTGTCCTGGTGGTGATGATCTCTTAAGAGTAGTTGGATGTCCAACATGTTGATGGTTTCCTCCTCCATGTGGATGGTCAACTGGATTCATAGCAACACCTCTAACTCTTGGCCATGTAGTTCTTTTAGCCTTATACATACGATAAGCAACACCAGCCTTAAGAATTGGTTTTTCAGTTCTTCCTCCACCTGCAATAATACCAACCATAGCTCTGCAATTTGATTTTAAGGTCTTTTTAGCTCCAGATGGAAGTCTAATACGAGTAGTTTCATTATCAGCATTATGTGAAATAACAGTAGCATAATTTCCTGATGCTCTTGCAATAATTCCTCTGTCTCCTGGTTTAGATTCAACATTACAAACAACGGTACCTTCTGGGCATTGTCCAATTGGAAGAACATTTCCAATGTGAAGGGATGCTTTGCTTCCGCAATAAATGTATTGTCCTGAATATAATCCTTCAGCACAAATGAATAATTCTTTATCAAGTCCATATTGTCTTGGATTTCTGAAAACAACTCTAGCAAGAGGAGCTCCTCTTCCTGGATCATGTTCAATTGATTTAACTAATCCTCTAACTGTTGAGTGTCTTTCAAAGAAGTCAATGGCACGATGTTGAGCAACACCCAATTTGTGATGACTTCTTGATTTGAAGATGGATCCTCTTCCTTTTCTTTGACTGAGTGTTCTTCTTCCCATCGACTAACAACCCTTTTTAGTTCCTTTGTAAGTTCATTATTGAGGGTTCGATTTTAGTTTTTTTATTATTTCTTAATAGCATTTTATAGTTTTTATTCATTTTGATTCAATTCGTGAAAAAACATTTTATTCAATTCATAATAATATGTTTTATAAAATTAATTAAATTTTTTTTTGATATAAATAATTAATTATTTTATAAAAGTGTTATTTAATTATTTTATTTCCTTTTATTTAAAATAATCATTTTTCGAGATTCGAATTGGCACGTCAGAAACTCCACACAGAACCATAAAACATTTCCATGTTTTGAATCACTAGTTACATTTGATTATGATATTACTATTAGTTAGAATACATCTTAGTTAATATTGTAAGAATATCAGTGTTTATTATTTATATTGATTGAATATCATTTATATTAAATGTGCATTTATTTATAAAGATATAGTATTAATTACTTATTAGAATACATGTATATTCGATAACATACATGTATTATCAATGAAAAACTATCTGTTGTTATGGTTGATGTTAAAATTGAAATTAATCATAATAATATAATGATAATGATATATTCTTCTTAAAACATGAAA